GCACGCACGCACGCACACACGCACACACACACACACACACACACACACACACACACACACACACACACACACACACACACACACACACACACACACACACACACACACACACACATACACACACACACACCTGCCAGCATTTGCCTCTCAAAGCCAATAAACTCCTAATGCTACATTTTCAAAGTCGCTTCAATGCTTAAAACGTTATCATCCCTTGGCCATGCACCACTACTCACTGAAGTATGCAGTACAATGGCATAGCGCTTATCCAACCAATACACACAGTATAACACACACATATTGCTATGCATTACTTTTGAATCCGTATGGTAATTATTTGTTTCCTTTGTGAATTTCATACATTTCTCCTATTGACTCATGTGACTTAAACTGTGAAGCCCCAGCATCAATCAGGGAGTTTAGAAAAAGATTCGGCATTAAGTGATTTAAACACCCAGATGGCTTTCTTTCATTCAAAAGCGAACAAAAGCACTAACTGATATCTCCGTAGGATGAAATGCAATTTCACCATGATACCACCAATAGAGCCTCTCCCGCGGCACAGTAACACTGAGAATTGTCCGTTTTTATGTTCCATCTAACAATAATCCTCTGCGTCTACGTTGAGCCCCCGCCCTGCATGTTCTTAACACACCAATATAACAGCATTATGTGTTTTTCAGATAAGAAAACATCACAAAAGGCTGAATCAAATATTCATCCTGTGTTACCCGTTGATCAGTAATCTCCTGTTTTCATTTTGGCGCTGTCGCTTCCTCCATCCCCTATTTCCCCGCTCTCATGCTCCCCAGTTTCATCTGCACGCTCTTTTCCGATGTAATCTTTTTGTGTATGGGGAACGGGAGAGAAAAAGAGAAATGATGATACCTTAAAAATGACACAAAGCCATTTTCTGTACTGCTGGAGTTACTGATGAAGTTCATATCCCTATGTTTGCAGATGAACATGTGTGTGTTTGTTCACGTGTACAGTATGTGTATATGCTTCCTTCTTTGCAAGGATCTGAATATTGAATAAATCTTCCTTATCTATTACATTTGAATCAGCCCAGATTGTGGTTGTGTTGCAGGATCAGAAGGAAACGTTCCTGCAGACAAAGAAGTTACAATGACCGTGAACAGCCTTGCAGCTCGCTGGAGTCTTGTACTTGTTAGTGCTGATCACACTGAAGCATGTGTGTTTGTGTCTGGCCTCTGTTCTCCACGAGCATGTCTCCTGTTGATTGGATCACCACACACACACACACACACACACACACACACACACACACACACACACACACACACACACACACACACACACACACACACACACACACACACACACACACACACACACACACTAATGATGAGTCACACTTCTAAGATACTTATAGAATGAAAGCTCCCTCTGCAACATATAGCTTTTTAATATAACAGACACACTGTACAAATGAATCAAGATTTGTTCTCATTATCTATTTAAAAAACACCATACTGTACAATCTGGCTTAGTCTGTATTTTAGCAATGTACAGTATGTAAAAGCAGACATTTTTAAATGTATTTTGGCCTTTAGTTTGCACATGGAGATTGTTTGAATGGACTGAAAACTGAGCTTTGTTAAAACGTCAGGACCAGGGGAATCAGTAACTCTGATTTCAATGTTGCTGTGTGGACAGGGAAGACAGCGTTCTTGGCTTTTTATGTCAGATTGTGCACCATTTTCTCATTTGTAAGGTTTCAGACATCTACCCCAACGGCCGCATCATACATCCTTGAACCAGAAACATGGTCAAATAACCTTACTGACAGGATATGTTTACCCCTACAAGTGGATTTACTGTACTGGCTACGAAGGTCACTGCTACATTATCCAACACTCCCACGACAAAGACCCTGCTGACATTGTTGCTGATACAAGATGATTATTTGATGCCACAAGAGCGGTATATGGTCCCAGCTATCGCCGCCTAACCCCCCTTCGCTCTAAAGATGGGCTCTTGCTTCTGAAGGACAAGGATGCAATAGCAAACAGGTGGAAAGAGCACTATAAGGACCTCTTAAACAGGGACACCATTCCTGAGATGGAGGCTCTTGACCAACTCCCTCAACAGCCCATAGCTGAAAGCATGGGAGAACCACCCAGCCTGGGTGAGATGCTGGATGCCATTAAGAATATGAAAAACAACAAGGCTGCTGGGCCCGACGGCATCCCAGCAGAAGTCCTGAAGAAAGGCGGACCCGATCTTCTTAAGCACATCCATGCCCTGCTTCTCAAAATCTGGGAAGAAGAGGAAATCCCTGCTCAGTTTAGGGATGCCTTAATTGTCTCCATATTTAAGAAGGGAGACAGGGCAGACTGTGGAAATTACCGCTGCATTTCTCTCTTTTCCACCATAGGGAAAGCCCTAGCTCGGGTGTTGGCCAACAGACTCACCCCGCTGTCAGAAAGCATCCTTCCTGAGTCTCAGAGTGGATTTTGCCCAAACAGAGGCACTACAGACATGATTTTCACAACTCGCCAACTGCAAGAAAAATGCAGTGAACAAAATCAACCATTATACAGTTGCAAGAAAAAGTATGTGAACCCTTTGGAATTACCTGGATTTCTGCATAAGTTGGTCATAAAATGGAGGAAGCAACTGCTGTCCAGAAAAAACATTGCTGCACGTTTGAAGTTTGCAAAAGAGCACCTGGATGTTCCATAGCACTACTGGCAAAATATTCTGTGGACAGATGAAACCAAAGTTGAGTTGTTTGGAAGGAACACACAACGCTATGTGTGGAGAAAAAAAGGCACAGCACACCAACATCAAAACCTCATCCCAACTGTGAAGTATGGTGGAGGGAGCATCATGGTTTGGGGCTGCTTTGCTGCCTCAGGGCCTGGACAGATTGCCATCATCGACGGAAAAATGAATTCTCAAGTTTATCAAGACATTTTGCTGGAGAACTTAAGGCCATCTGTCCACCAATTGAAGCTCAACAGAAGATGGGTGATGCAACAGGACAACGACCCAAAGCACAGAAGTAAATCAACAACAGAATGGCTTCAACAGAAGAAAATACGCCTTCTGGAGTGGCCCAGTCAGAGTCCTGACCTCAACCCAATTGAGATGCTGTGTCATGACCTCAAGAGAGCGATTCACAAACCTAAAGAAGTGCCACATAGACCTAAAAGCTTGGGAAGACATGGCAACAGACAGGGCGACCTGGAGAAACCTTGTCCGTGAGGGTGCTGCACTATACAATGATGACAAGACAAGCACAGACTCAGGAAGGAGAGATCAACCACCAAACAGGTCCAACCCAAACCCTCCACCACTACATTCCCCTGTCCACACTGCACAAGAATAATTGGGTCCAGAATCGGCCTCTATGCCCAACTGAAGACCCACAAGGACCAAGAAGGAGGACAGTTATACTCGACTACGAGTGACCGCCGATGATGATGATGAATATGATGATGATGGTGGTGTGTGTGTGTGTGTATGTTTTTGTATGTTTGTCTATGTGTATGTCTTTCTGTGGGTCTGTTTGCACAGCCCAACATGCCCACTGGACTAAACAGCGCTACAATTGTGTTTCTGCATTTTCATGAAAAATCCCCCTGTACATGTGGGCTAGTCCTTTACAGTATGCTTCATACCTTTTGCAGGGCAAGCACTCTGTAGTTAACTCATATGTTGTTTTGTTTTTTGTTCTCTGATTTCAGCATGAAACACAAATTGATCACTAAAATATCTATTTAAACTCATCTGCTATTTTTGAATTTTGCACAGTTTCTCCTTGCCAAGCAGTGAGCCTCACACATGTGTACTTTGCTCACATGCTATTTCTCCATCAGTTTCGTCTTTTTTCCTCCCCATCTATAGCTTCTTCTCTTTTTCTTTCTCTCTTCCTCCATCATTGCAGTGGTCCCAGAGGTAATTACGAAGTGTTTCAGACAGTGGTTTTGGAGATCTGGGACTCTCAAACAACCATTATTCTCCAGATCAATTGCTTTGGACTAAACTGAACACACACTCTCAGAAGCACAGTACAATTAAAAGTCAACACAGGGGAAATTCTACACACACTCACACGGACACACGTCTGCATGTGCATGCACACATACACCTGGATTAGCCTATAGGACGTGCAGATTAGACAATGAACATATTCAGCACCCAAGCATGCACAAACACGCATGTGCATGGGGGCGTTCAAGGAGAAAGGCTCAGACAAATATACACATTACCACATGCTACCACAAAACCTGCGTACATAACGAAGTGGAGGAGGATTCAACAGAGCTTAAAGCCAATCTGGTGCTAAAGGAAAGCAGCAGTTGAGAAATCTTTTTTGATAACCGCTTCAAAACAACCTACCACTGCGAGGGCCCCACAGAGCCAAGTCGAGCGACAGCACCAAACAAACCTTTGCTCCGAGCACAACAAACGTTTGCATGTTTTCTCTTCAAAGGATCACACGCTAATACACTCCGCAGCATGCCTTATCAAAGCTTTCAAACTGTGTGAGTGTGTGCAAGAGTCAGTATCTGTGCTGCTGTGTGTTTGCTTGCATGTTTGTATATGCATATATGTGTTTATACGGGTGTGTTGCCCCCTGAGTACAGCATATACAGTACATACACCCACATCCTTGATGATGAGACACAAGGGACTTACTGTGATAGAAAAATAACGCTGCACTCGCTAATTTGCTAAGACAAGGCAAACTAGTGACGTTTCAACAGCTTCACAACAAATTATTTTTACAATTGAACAAGGTCAAATTAAGGACATTTTGTGATCTGCACTTAGCCTGAATCTCATTAGAAATATGAGAAGCTGGGGAGATCAATGAGGAAATTAAAACACTGCAAAGGCTTGTTTAAACCTGCTGTTCTCCCCTACATGTGGAGCTGTACTGAGACTGTATGTACTGCTGAGCCTTGTGTACAGTTGGATGCTGGGAACAGTCTCTTATATGGATCTAAATATAGAAACTCTCCTCTTGCTGTGCGTGGACTCTCACTTAGTCTCTCTCTTTCTGTCTCACTGACTCGAATACACACAAACACAAACTCAATAAACACTCGGCAATTTTCACAACTTTTGTCCCACACAAACTCCTGCATTTATGTATGTGTGTGTTTGTGTGTGTGAGTGGGTCTCATGAGGGCTCTGGTGAAGTAGGGCAGGCTGGAGGAAAGTGGGGCGACAGGGGGGGAAGTAAGCCCAGTCAGAATATCAATAATGGATAAACATGTAGCCATCAGCAGGGAGTGAAGGAGAGGGAGATGTAAAGAGATAGAGGGAGAGTGAGGACATGGGAGAAAGGGTGAAGAGTGAGGACAAAGGACAAGAGGAGTGAGGGAAAGTTAGACAGGCAGTAGAGTCAAGGGCACTACTTTTAAAGAGTTTGTTTACCAAGGAAAGATAAAATGATTAACGGCTTGATAAGTTCCGAGGGGTCTAAAAACCTGTCTCATGATGGTAGGAAATCACTGTGTTGTGTTTGGCCATTTGATAAGACTTCAAAATTATTGATCTGTTACTCAAAATGGACTTCCTGGATCGATATGCCATGTCTTAAATGTAGCTGAAGCAAAGGCAGCACCTCCAACATCTGGGCAAATAAAACATAAACAATCTGTGCTTGGTCATTCTGGGGAAACCAGCGTTTAAAATGACTGTTTACACAGTTTTTTTTTTTTATACATACGTGTAAATCGGATTTCAAACAAAAAAATGTATTAGACACAATTAAAAAATACATTCTGGTCTCAAAAGACAAGCCAATGCCAAGGTCAAAACCACTTGATGTTATCCTCAGTGCAACTTTTACCCTGTTGCAGCATGTTTTTAGTTTATACAAATATATAATAAGATTTTGATTGCTTAAAAATATCTTCAGCGTTGGGTTGCGATTCACTACACCTTCATATCACTGCTGGTT